TTTCCTATTTTTATAAAATGTTTGTCTTCCTTTTTGTTTGTAAGTTTCAAACTTTCACTCTACTTTGAGTCTGTTTTCGACTTTTTTTTAAATTTTTAATTTTCCTATTTTTCTTTGTATTCCTTTTTGTCCTTTGCTTTTTTCTTTGGCTCACAGCGAATCGGTGGAAACTCGGCGCTTGGAAAGGATATCGTATCCATTCCGTCGATCATGTACGAGATCAAGAAGTACAGCAGAACATTCTGATCCCTGTCTGCAGTAGCTGCTTATGCAGATGAAGATCTGAGGGGGATAAGAGTGCTCAGCGCCGTTTGATCTGCTGAAGATCAAATGGGAGTGCTCAGCTAGATTGGGCGCTTGTGCAGATTCCGACCTCCATTAGATCAAATGGGAGTTCTCAGAGAGATAGGGCGCTTCTCTACATGTGACGTAAAGGTGCTCAGAGTGCTCAGGGTGCTCAGGGTTCTCTGGGTACTGAGGGTCCTCTGGGTACACAGAGTGCTCAGGATGCTCAGGGTGCTCAGTATACCGTTAGATGCGATGGAGATCCAATGGGTGCCGAAAGAGACTGGGAACTTACACAGCCACTGATCTAAGGGCGCTCGGAGTGCTTAGCACCGTTAAATGTCTCATGGAGATCGAGCAGGTGCTCACAAGGATTGGGCGCATTGCAGATGTTGACCTAAGGGTGCTCAGGATGCTCAAGGTGCTCAAGGTGCTCAGTGCACCGTCACATCTGATGGAGATCCAACGTGCTAGGTGAGGTTAGGCTCTTACGCTGATGGTGGTTTTAGGGCGGACAGAGTGCTCAGCACCATTCGATGTGATAGAAGATGAAATGGGGGTGCTCGCTTGGCGAGATTGGGCGTTTATACGGATCGCGACCTAGGGGTGCTCCGTGTGGGCTCGGCGCGTATATGGATCTTGAGTCTTTACGTAAGAGTGCTTAGTGTGCTTGGTGTATCGTTATAGATCTGATGGATATCTAACAGGTGCTCAGCAGCAAGATTGGGAACTTAATAGACATGCTGGCGACTGGAGGGTGCTTAGAGTGCTCAGAGTGCTCAGAGTGCTAATTACTGTTAGATCTGATAATGATCTATTGTGTGTCCAGCGAGATTGAAAGAGATTCCTGATGATTTTTTTTGGATGAAAGGTTGTCTAACACATTTGTTTTCGGAAATTGCTCTGCTTTTTTTTTTTTTTTTTTTTTTTTTTTAATGCATAAAATAACGGCCATCAAACCAAGGGGTCAGTCAGTGGGTAAGTTTTTCCAAGTCATTATTCCTGTATCTAGACTGAAGAAAGATTATATTCGTCCAGTGTCTTATTTGTGATGGTGACGGTCATCAGTTTGTTTCTATGCTTGAAAATGTCTCAATTTCTTAACTAATCAGTAGATTCAGTACCTGTGCTCAAAGTTGAGTCCTGAAATAGTGGTCAGTTTTTCACTGTGGTTAACTAGTCAGTACCTGTGCTCAAAGTTGAGTCCTGAAATAGTGGTCAGTTTTTTACTGTGGTTAAATAGTCAGTACCTGTGCTCAAAGTTCAGTCCTGAAATAGTGGTCAGTTTTTTACTGTGGTTAAATAGTCAGTACCTGTGCTCAGAGTTGAGTCCTGAAATAGTTGTCAGTTTTTTTAACTGTGGTTCAGACAAGTCGAGTTAAGATCAGTTTTTGCACACTGAGGTTGTGGTGGAGCCTGAGGCATGGTCGTCTCGATGCCCAGAGATGGTTTGGGGGGCGATCGCTTGCTAAGGAAAAAGGGAGGGAAGGGCTTATGGCTGCGCCAGATGTCAAAATAATCCATCATCCTGAATAACTGCAGATGATGTGTTGTCAATGCAGAGTTCTTAGGAAACTGTATCGACAATGACGACAACCAAAAATAAAAAGGAAAAAATTGCGTTTTTGTTTGCACTTTGTTTACCACACAGAGGTCTGTGTTGTCTTTGTTCTCCTCAGCTTACCCCTCTCTCTCTCTCTCTCTCTCTCTATCTCTCTCTCTCTCTCTTTCTCTCTCTCACACACACACACACACACACACACACACACACAC